CGTCGTCAGAGTTTTGGGGTGAGGGGGCCTTAAGTCAGAGGCAGAAGGGCCCGTGGTGTCTGCGCCGCCTCACTTCCCGCCATGGCCTTCAGCGGTTCCTGTGCCTTGTCCCCTGCAGGTCTGAGTTCACTGACACCATCCTGTCCGTGCACCCCTCCGACGTGCTGGACATGCCGGTGGACCCAAACGAACCCACGTATTGCCTGTGCCACCAGGTCTCCTACGGGGAGATGATTGGCTGTGACAATCCAGACGTGAGTGTTGCCTGCGGGATTCGCGCCATGGGGCACGGTCTTGTGCGGGGCAGGGCTGGCGGGTGTTGGCATTTCCTGTGTTTTGCGTACAGAACATGAGGCGTGTTGACTGCGGTTTCTTCCTTTACTTTGCAGTGTCCAATTGAGTGGTTTCACTTTGCCTGCGTGGACCTTACCACGAAACCCAAAGGAAAATGGTGAGTGGGGATGCTCGCTCCGTTTTCTCCCAGCCTGCTGGGTGTCGGGCTGCTGGCCTCCCCAGGAGAAGGCGCTCGATGGCGGGATCTTGCCAGGCTTAGCGGGGCGCGGTAGCCACGTAGGCATGCCCCACAGTGGCCTCAAGGAGTGTGGCTGGCTGGCTGGCTGCTCTGGATGTGGCTTTTTCCCTCCTTCGCTGCTGTGCCTGTCCGAGCCGGCAGAGGGATGTCCTCACCCCGGGACAGCGGTTACCAAGTTACGTAATATTCACGTTCACGGCCCCTCCTGAAGGACAACCTTCCGGACTCTGCGGGAGGTAGGGATCGTCTTAAATCAGAATGAGAGGTTCTTGTCCCTTGGGGAAATCTGGGAAGGATAGCACGAGAGGTGAGTCCTGAAGCCGGGGCGTGGATCTGGGGCCCGTGGCTCTGTCTGGTGGAGAAGAGTGCAGGTGCCAGGAGCAGTTTATCTTCCTGACCCTTGCATCCCCTTGGCAATGGCAACTTTCTGCATTGTTGTTCCTCAGATTTCATTTAAATAAAAACTTATAGTCTGGGCAACATCGAGAGACCCCAGCTCTACAAAAAATACAAAAATTAGCTGGGCGTGGTGGTGCGTGCCTGTGTCCCAACTACCTGGGAGGCGCAGGTGGGAAGGTGGCTTGAGTCTGGAAGTCCAAGGCTTCAGTGAGCTGAGATTGCGCCACTGCACTCCAGCCTGGGCGAGAGAGCAAGACCCTGTCTCAAATAAATAAATAAAAAGATAAAAACCTGGCTTTGTTTGCCTGTGCTGAAAATCTAAAAATGGATATATGTTCTGAAAATGAAATCGGAATGTGCTCTTCTGTGTGGCACTCAGAGGTCATCGCGGCAGCGTGTTTGAGACTCCGGCAGACTCGCCCGAGTTGGTGAGAGCCAGTTATCCTTGGTGTTCGGTGTGAGGACACAGAGGGAAAGGATGCTGTGTCTCGGAGGCTGACCGAGCTCATGGTGTCATGTGGCATCAACACAGGCTGCCCTGTCACGGGGACACATGGCACTGCAGTGCCCCACGCTGTGCAGCCGAGGGACGGTGCATCAGGGTTTGGAGAAGGGGCATGGCGGCTATTAGGGCGGAGGGCCCTGGGCAGGCTCGGCCTGGGCCAGGCGGGGGTTGACAGTTGCCTTCACATGCAAGTTGGCTGCCTCCTGCGTGGGGAACCTATGGAAAGTCCTCTGTGGCCAGCAGCTGCCTCTGTTCAGGAGTTCCCGTGCGTGCGGCTCCGGAACTTGCTCAGAGTCACCAGGGAGCACTTGTGAGACGGCAGCTTCCAGGGCCCGTGCAGGGTGCCTGGCTGGGTTTCTGTGGGCCTGAGGGGCTGCCATGCTCATGCGTGCTTGGTACCTGCAGCCCCCAGACTCCAGACAGAGGGCACCAGCGACCCTGTCATCAGCCGGGGAAGGAGGACCCACCTGTTAAGGAGGAACGCCTGGGTGTCAAATCGCTTTTGCTCATTGATGTGTATCTGTCAACTTCAGAACCAACCTCCTGCATAGAGCCGCGCACATAGGCGCGTTTTCCCTGCGGGAAGGCCGCAGCCCCACTCTGTGTGCCTCTCCTGGTGCCGGCCCCCCAGCCTCCAGCAGGCCTGGCAGACATGGGGAGGTGGGGCCTGGGCACGCTGCGCCCTGGTGGAAATGGCAACCAGGGCCTCACTGCGCCTTTCTTGTCACAGGTTCTGTCCACGGTGTGTCCAGGAAAAGAGGAAGAAGAAGTAGGAGGAGCTGTGTGCCCGGATCCGAGGAGCAAGTTAATCTCTTCCTTCATTCGTGTTGCAATATTTCCCTTCATTTTAAAACTACCTTGTTCGGTTGATACTTAGTAACTCCGTGGCCAGTTGAAATTCTGGATGTTTCCTAGAACAAGAACCCATCAAACCCTGTTCGCACAGAAGGGCGACCTTGCAGGGACTTGCCGCCTTGACGTTAGCGTGGCTTTTACAGGACCCCCCCGCGCATCAGCAGGGAGCCCCCGCGGACGTGGCGGGTGCTCGTGAGCCCGGGCTGCCAGGCCAGACGTGCGAGCTGCGGGGACGTGGTAACCTGGTCCACGGCCACCCTCGCGTAGCTTTCCTGTGGTTTTCCAGGACTGTTTGGTACAGCCCAGGCTCCCTGCGCCCCAACGCCGCTGGAGCACGCCTGCCACTGAGCCGCGCGGGTGGGGCCCGTGCCTCCTCCCACTCAGCGCCGCGCCGCATCCGGCCCCGTGCACTCCTGCTTGGGCGCCTCTGACAGCCCGGGAGGGCTGGGGGCCCTTTCTCCGAGGAAGTGGCCTCCGCTTCACTGTGCGCTGCCTTTTTAGCTTGGACTTCAGTCCTCCCTCGGGGGAGTCACCTCTGGAGTAAACGGCTCTTCATTAGCTTGGAGTAGCTGTGGGTCCTGTGACCAGCACCCACCAGACCCTGGAACAGAGCTGGGCTGATGTTCCGTTTCTCTGGGAATTGGTGATGTTTTTACTGTGAAGATGAAATTATCCTAATAGCATGAAGATCATGGGTCTACGTGTGTCTGTGAAGTGAGTCCCGTCTGCCAGGAGCTGATGAACCACGAATGCCTCTGCTTGTGCATTCCCAGGCCCGCAGCTCCCGTCCAAGGGGACTCTGATGTGAATTTGTTGTGAATTTATTGTGCCACAATAGCAGTTCTGGAATGAAGCTAGGAAACTCGAGTGTGCTTTTTGTTTAATCAGCATTCACCAAGCTGAGCTGGAGCCGTCTTTTCGGTGGTAGTTGGGGAAGGCTGTGCAGATTTGCTCTGCTGTGATGCGTTGGTGACGGTGCCTAGCCTGCGGTTCCCGACAGCAGCATCGCAGGCTCTGGGAAATCCTCTCCTGTGCCTTTAGAGGAAGGAGAGGATTCCTGAGGAATGCAGGGGAGCCTGTTTCTGTCCTCACACCACAGAAAGAAACCTGAGGGAAAACTGAGGTGTGAGGTTCCCAACTTAAGCCTGGTTTTCTTCATGGTGGGGGGCCATTTGGAATGACAGCCTCACTTCCTCCTGATGGCTACATCTATATCTTTTCCTCCTGTTTTTAATGTTTCACTAGGGAGAGGAAATAAAGCAGAAAGGAACGTGTGAAGCTCTGTGTCTCAGACGGGGCCCTCCCCACGAGAAGCTGGTAGTCAGTGAGTGAGAACAAGAGAACAAGAACATCCTGAACAGTCCTGGTTGGGATGGTGTCCACATTCTTGTTTTGCGGTTCTTGAACCACATGGATGTCTCTGGGCCACCTGTCCTTTCCGGGAGCCGGCCGAGGGTGTGGGGCAGTGGGTGGGAGTGGATCCTCTGGGCGCAGGTGCCCAGCAGGTGCAGGCAGGCAGTGGGCCACTGCTGCTGCTCATCCCTGCCAGTGTCTGGACCTGAAGGGGCTCCCTCCAAGCGATGCCTTCCTGTGGCTCAGAAGGGAAAGCGTCGGAGAGGGCAGGCTACACTGTTTCACACCCTCAGCCATGGCTGTGAAAATGGGTGGGTTTTGTTGGGTTTTTTCCTTTTTGAGACAGAGTCTCGCTCTGTCGCCCAGGCTGGAGTGCAGTGGTGCGATCTTGGCTCACTGCAAGCTCCACCTTCTGGGCTCAAGTGACCCTCCCACCTCAGCCTCCTGAGTAGCTGGGATTACAGGCACGCACCATCAGGCCCAGCTAAGTTTTGTATTTTTGTTGGAGACGGGGTTTCACCATGTTGGCCCGGCTGGTCTCAAACTCCTAGGGTCAAATGATCCGCCTGCGTCGGCCTCCCAAAGTGCTGGGATTACAGGTGTGAGCTGCTGCACTCAGCTGGGAGATGGGTTTTCACGTAATGACTTAACTTTTTGTTAACAGGTTTTGTGTGTGTGTGTGTTTTATTTTTTGTTTTTTGTTTTTTTTGAGATGGAGTTTTGCTCTTGTCACCCAGACTGGAATGCAATGACACCATCTTGGCTCACTGCAACCTCTGCCTCCTGGGTTCAAGTGATTCTCTCGCCTTGGCCTTCCGGGTAGCTGGGACTACAGGTGCCCACCACCACGCCTGACTAATTTTTGTATTTTTAGTAGAAACGGGGTTTCACCATGTGTGGCCAGGCAGGACTCGAACTCCTAACCTGAAGTGATCCACCCGCCTTGGCCTCCCAAAGTGCTGGGATGACCAGCATGAGGCACCACACCTGGCCAACACAGATGCTTAATGATCGTGGAGAATACATTGTGGAAAATTTTATTCTCTCTTTTACCTTATTATGAGACGGAGTCTCCCTCTGTCACCCAGGCTGGAGTGCAGTGGTGCGATCTCGGCTCACTGCAAGCTCCGCCTCCCGCATTCACGCCATTCTCCTGCCTCAGCCTCCCGAGTAGTTGGGACTACAGGTGCCCGCCACCATGCCCGGCTAATTTTTTTGTATTTTTTAGTAGAGACGGGGTTTCACCGTGTTAGCCAGGATGGTCTCAATCTCCTGATCTTGTGATCCACCCGGCTCAGCCTCCCAAAGTGCTGGGATTACAGGCGTGAGCCACCGCGCCCGGCCCTCTTGTACCATTTTTGTGAAGAGGGATAGGTAAGTGCAGGGAGTTTGTGCTGCAACAGTGCCTGGCAATTTTTCAGAAATGAGTTCGATATTTCACTCCACCTTTGAGCTGTTCACACCCATGGCTATCCCTGGAAGGAGCTGGGGTTGTTCATGCTTTCGGCTGCCTGGCTTCCTGAGGTCTCGCTGCTTTCTGGGGAAAGATGACTGGCTTCCACGTGGGAAGCTTCTGTCTAGCACGTGATGATGTGGTCCTGCCTGCCACTGTGCACCTTCCCAGGTATTGAATTTTGACCTTTTCTTTTCAAGTTTCTGTGCTTATGTGTTTTTAATGTTTACTTTTGCCACTTACGATAATATCACCAAAATAATATGCAGAGAGTTTTGGAAGAAACACAGAAAACATGAGGAGAATGAGACAATTCCTTGGGCTGTAGCTTGGACCCAACTGAATCCTGAGTACTCTGTGGCTGATGCTGTGCTACCCGTGGGAGAGACACACTCAGGAGTGGCTGTTTGACCAGAAAAGAAGGTCATGGCCCCTGGCCTGGCCCCAGCCCTGCAGGGACACAGGAGCCACACCATTTGCAGCATCCACACCTTGCTCCAGAAGGCCTGGCTGCCTTCTCCCGGGGGGTGATTCAGGGATTTAGTCTTGGACCAGACCCCCCTCCACAGCTGCCCAGCTCCAGACCCATCTCCTGGATTGAGGGTGTCTGGGCTGGACCCAGTGGGTCACTCTGGCAGCTTCATCTGAGCCGAAGGTGTGGGTCCTCTGTGGCTGTGCGATTGACCTCTATGGGAAGGAGCGTTCTGCCCATTTTCCTTGTTTTCAGTGCTGCGGTATCAGACAGTGATCTGAGGAAATCCTGTCGGGGAAGGCAGGCTGCTTTGAAAACAGGAGCTGGTGAAACTGAGCCCTCTGCATCTGTGAATGTGCCCCAGGTGCTGCTGCTGGGGACATGGATGCCGAGCGGAGGCCTGCATGGCCTCCTGAGCAGCAGCTGACCACCTGTCTCATGTTGGGCGGGACCCCTGGGCGGGTGGACACGAGACCACTGTTGGCCAGGGACACCGAGCAGAGGCCTACGTGGCCTCCTGAGCAGCAGCTGACCGCCCGTCTCATGCTGGGCGGGACCCCTGGGTGGGTGGACATGAGACCACTGTTGGCCAGGGACACCGAGCGGAGGCCTATGTGGCCGCCTGAGCAGCAGCTGACCGCCTGTCTCACTGTTGGCCAGGGCTTTGTGGCATGGGTGTTTTCCAGTCTGCCTGGAGCAGCGAGCAGCAGCTGTGCAGACCAGTGGCGGTGGGAGGGTTTGCCGGGACAGATGGGGACACTGGCCAGCTTGTCTTCTGTCCAGCAGCCCCACTGTACTTGGCCTCCTGTCCTGTCACTGGGAGCCCTGGCTGGGGCTGCTTTGAGCAGTGACGCTGGCCCAGAGCAGCTTCCCACATGACCAGAGCCGAGGGTCTGCCCTGTCCTAGGTTAGGTCTTCATGGTTTAGAATAAAACTGTGAGAGATGTTTATTATGGGCATTGAAGACTTAGGTTTTCCTAAATTTTCAGTGACCAGTGATCGGCCTTCAATACCTGTGCTGAGAGGAATTTTAAGCCAGGGGAAATGTGAGAAAATGTTCCCATTCAGGAGAGACTGTACTGGAGTTTCTTTCTTCCTCTGTATTTTGTGGTGTTCACCTTTAACCACATTTCATCCAAAAAGATGACGCAGCTTTAACATGAATGTTACATTTTTATTTTCAAGGAATTATCTATGTTCCCTTTGTAAAGGAAATATTGTAAATCTTTTTATTAGATAATGTAAAGATGTATATCAGTATTTTTGGATCATGTTATAGATTATGGATATATTGTTTAATAAATAAAGTATTTTTTGGAACAAACGGTTGAAAGTGCATCTGTATTAGCCCATTTTCACGCTGCTGATAAAGGCATACCCAAGACTGGGTAATTTATAAAGAAAAAGAGGGTTCTTTAAAAAAAAATTTTCTTTTCTTTTTCTTTTTTTGAGACAGAGTCTTCTTGCTCTGTCACCCAGGCTGAAGTGCAATGGTGCTGCATGATCTCGGCTCACTGTAACCTCTACCTCCTGGGTTCAAGCGATTCCCCTGCGTCAGCCTCCTGAGGAGCTAGGAGTACAGGCGCATGCCACCACACCCTGCTAATTTTTGTATTTTTAGTAGAGATGGGGTTTCGCCATGTTGGCCAGGCTGATCTTGAACTCCTGACCTCAGGTGATCCACCTGCCTCAGCCTTCCAAAGTGTTGGGATTACAGGCGTGAGCCTCTGCGCCTGACAGAAAAAGAGGTCTAATGGACCCTCAGTTCCACATGACTGGGGAGGCCTCACAATGGTGGCAGGAGGCAAAAGGCACATCTTACATGGCGGCAGACAAGAGAGAATGAGAGCCGAGTGAAAGGGGTTTCCCCTTATAAAACCATCAGATCTCGTGGGACTTATTCGCTACCACGAGAAAGGTATGGGGGAACCACCCCCATGATTCAGCATCATTCTGGGAAACGGGTGTAAAATGTCAGTGTTGGCCGGGCGCGGTGGCTCAAGCCTGTAATCCCAGCACTTTGGGAGGCCGAGACGGGCGGATCACGAGGTCAGGCGATCGAGACCATCCTGGCTAACATGGTGAAACCCCGTCTCTACTAAAAAATACAAAAAAGAAAACTAGCCGGGCAAGGTGGCGGGCGTCTGTGGTCCCAGCTACCTGGGAGGCTGAGGCAGGAGAATGGCGTAAACCCGGGAGGTGGAGCTTGCAGTAAGCTGAGATCTGGCCACTGCACTCCAGCCTGGGCGACAGAGCGAGACTCTGTCTCAAAAAAAAAAAAAATGTCAGTGTTGTGCCCAGAGACAAGTGTGTGAAGTTGAATTTTGAAGGGGTATGCAGTGATTGGAGAGTGGTTTGCGGAGCTTGCTGGCTGGGGGTCTGTGGAGGACCCTGTGCCTTACCTTGGGTGGTTGCTCAGGAACCCAAGCAAGGTGGTTGCTCAAGTTCACTTCCAAGGAAGACGTGTGAGAATGCTGCAGTTGCTCTAAGAGAGTACTGTGCTTGCTCTAGAAGGGCAAGACTTGCTGTGTTGTACTTGCCCTTTGGAAGCTGCTGGAGTCAGCTTGGGCTCTGTATTAGTCCATTCTTGCATTGCCAGAAAGAACGACCTGAGACTGTGTAATTTATAAAGAAATGAGGTTTAATTGACTCACAGCTCTGCAGGCTGTACAGGAAGCATGGCGGGGAGGCCTCAGGAAACGTACATCATGGCAGAAGGCGGAGGGGAAGCAGGCACATTTTACCATGGCGGACCAGGAGAGAAAGGGAGCAGAGGGGAAAGGTGCCACGCTTTTAAACAAGCAGGTCTCCTGAGAGCTCACTCATTTTCACAAGAACAGCAAGGGGGAAATCTGCCCCCATGAGCCAGTCACCTCCCACCAGGCTCCTCCCCCAATATTGGGGATTACAATTCAACATAAGATTTGGGCGGGGACACAAATCCAAACCGTATCAGGTTATCACAATGTCACAGACTGGGGGGCTTAACAAAAATGTCTCTTATTTCTGGAGATTGGTAGTCCAAGATTAAGGTGCTGGTGTTGTCTGGTGCCTGTCCAGGACTCTTCCCTTGGGTTGCCAACACTGCCTTCTCACGTGTGCCGACATGACTGACTGGGAGAGGGAGCTCTCTGGTGTCTCTTATTTTTTTTTTTTTTTTTTTGAGACGGAGTCTTGCTGTGTCGCTGGGGCTGGAGTGCAGTGGCCGGATCTTAGCTCACTGCAAGCTCCGCCTCCCGGGTTCACGCCATTCTCCTGCCTCAGCCTCCCGTGTAGCTGGGACTACAGGCGCCCGCCACCTCGCCCGGCTAGTTTGTTATATTTTTTAATAGAGACGGGGTTTCACCGTGTTAGCCAGGATGGCCTCAATCTCCTGACCTCGTGATCCGCCCGTCTCGGCCTCCCAAAGTGCTGGGATTACAGGCCTGAGCCACCGCGCCCGGCCTGGTGTCTCTTATTTTACCGACGCATGTCCTGTCGGATCAGGACCCCACCCTTGTGACTGACTTTAACCTTAATTACTTCTTCAGAAGTCCCATCTCCAAATATGGCCATATTGGGGGTTACAGCTTCCGCATACGAATTCTGGAGGACACAAACCTAATAGGAGCTGATGGGTCTCAAAACGTTGCCTCGAGCAGTGCATTAACAGAACCTGGGAAGAGCTGGGTCGTCACGAGGTACAGTTGGCCCCTCACCCACCATCCAGGTGAAACCAATCTGCAGACCAGAGTCCTCGCTGGAAGAGGAGGCTGATGCTGGGGGAAAGGGCCCACAACACTGAAACCAGCACATGCCATGTTTTCCTCCAAGCATTCTCCAAGGGTACATGTGGGCTTTGCCAGGGGTCTGTGCCCTGGGAAAAAGAAAAATCAGTTATTATTTTTTGAGACAGAGTTGTTTTTTTGTTTTGTTTTGTTTTGAGACAGAGTCTCACTCTGTAGCCAGGCTGGAGCGCAATGGTGTGATCTCAGCTCACTGCAACCTCCGCCTCCCAGGTTCAAGCCATTCTCTTGCCTCAGTCTCCCGAGTAGCTGGGATTACAGGCGCCCACCACCACGCCCGGCTAATTTTTGTATTGTTGGTAGAGACAGGGTTTCACCATTTTGGCCAGGTTGGTCTCAAACTCTCGACCTCAGGTGATCCACCTGCCTCAGCCTCCTAAAGTGCTGGGATTACGGGCGTAAGCCACCGTGCCTGGCCAGAAAAATCAGTTATTTTAGGGGGTGGTATGGGTGGTAATCTTTATGAGTTCTGAATCATTCCTAATCCCAGGGGTCCAAGATGCCACTGGCCTGCTAGTCAGAGGGAGGGCGTGTGGAGGTCGGGTGGTAAGGGGGTCCACAGGAGGGCGTGTGGAGGTCGGGTGGCAAGGGGGTCCACAGGAGGGCGTGTGGAGGTCGGGTGGCAAGGGGGTCCACAGGAGGGCGTGTGGAGGTCGGGTGGCAAGGGGGTCCACAGGAGGGCGTGTGGAGGTCGGGTGGCAAGGGGGTCCACAGGAGGGCGTGTGGAGGTTGGGTGGTAAGGGGGTCCACAGGAGGGCGTGTGGAGGTCGGGTGGTAAGGGGGTCCACAGACGTCATCTGTGGTTCTTTCCAGTTCCTGAATGTGTAATTGAAACAGTCACACTTGACAATGGGAAACTCCCACACAGGCCTGCAGAGGAAGGGCCAGCCAGGTAGGAAGGGCCAGGTGGACGTCACCTTCCCAGGGTTGTAGTCCAAAGGCAAAATGCATTGCTGACTTGGAAGAGTCCTGCATGGGTGATTCACCTGGGAAGAAGGTGAGTGGCCCTTGGGGATGTGGGTAAGGAGGACGGGAATGACTCCATTCAACTGCTGCTCCAGAGCCTCATCACCAGGACAAATCCAGCTTGCCGGTTTTCTGTGCGACTACCAGGACCCATCTGCTGTCATGGGCGTAGCCTCCGCCTCCTGCACAGCTCCACAGTCTGGCCTCTGGACCGAGTGCGGGCTCCTGCTCTCTGCCCTCATCTGCTCAGAGATCTGCATCGTCTGCACCCTCTGGTTCTATGGAATTGGGTGAGCTGAAGTAACAAGTACTTTGGGAGGCCGAGGCGCGCGGATGGCTTGAGTCCAGGAGTTCGAGACCAGCCTGGGCAGCACGAGACCCCACCCCCCCCATCTCTACAAAAATACAATAACAAAAAATTAGCCGGGCGTGGTGGCACACGCCCGTAGTCCCAGCTACTTGGGTGGCCGAGGTGGGAGCATGGTTTGAGCTCGGGAGGCAGAGGTTGCAGTGAGCTGAGATCACCCCCGGAACTCCAGCCTGGGCAACAGAGCTAGACCCTGTCTCGAAAACCCACAAAACAAGTGCTGGCGATGCCTCAGGAAGGGGAGCCCAGGCCGGGAGGCTCCTCGGGGCAGCAGGTACTGCGTCAGGAGGCCAGGAGCTCCCCAGGTTTGCGAAGGGTTTGAGGGCACGTAGGGCTGAACAGGCGGAAGCGGACACGGAGGCAAGAAAACACCTGCAGGAGGCAGCTGCCCCCTAAGCTAAGGCTGGGGGCCCAGGAGGGGTGGTCCGTGCAGGAGCTGGGGGAGGGAGGCCGCTGGCGAAAGGGGCGCCCCCTGGGCACGGCCTCGGAGG